ACTAACTACTACTATACTACGTTACGTACACACACACACACACACACACACACACATATATATATATATATATATATATATATATATATGGGCAATGATTCCATGCAACATAGTAATATGATGCAGCAACTTTAAAAACCTTCTTATAGCCATTTGTTTGATCCAAAATTTGAAATATACCTTCTTTTCAGTCTAATAAACAATAAATAAAGAAATAAATAAAATTAAAAAAATAAATAAAACTAAAAACATAACATAGAAAGTAATTTTAGCATATCTATAAACATACAAAAATATCTTTGACATGATCGATTATATGTTTTTCTAACTTCAAAAGAACCTTTCTCGAAGGATTTTAGAGGAGCGCTTTAATTTTACATTTGAAAATGTCATCCTTTTCCAAAGGATTTTATATGAACTTTTTCCAAATTAAAAAGGCAAAGCATTAATTTCTTGCATTTTTGGATTTTTTTAAATTTCTTTGTGCTGCTCTTTTTTGTTGACATTTTATCTGTGAGGTCCTAAAATTGCTCCTAAGTTAGCAAAGCGTGGCATCCTAAGCGGGCTCGCAACACCACGCGTTACTTAACTATGCTTCTGTTCTGAACAAAGAAGAGGGGATCGGGGTGCAGCATGAATGCAGAGAGAGAAAGGGACGCACTCACTGGAGAGCGGGAGAGAGGTGTGGCTCCATAGAGAGACACAGCCAAGACTGTATAGTGTAAAACCAGTGATTAGAGAGAGAGAATGGACAGAGAGAGGAAGGAGGAGAAGGGGAAGAGAGAGGAGGAGAAGAAACCAATGTCATTGATGAGGCCGGTGACCGAGGGCGCCTACGGTGGTGGACTCTATGGCACAGATGATGGTGGCGCGCCTAAGCAGCAAATGCCCGTGCAGAGGCAGCCTGCGAGCGACACACAGAGCGCGGATGGCCCCGTCGTAGAGCCGTCCGTGCCCAAGCACGAACCGCCTCCGTCCACTGGAGATCGCGACCTTGACATAACCGGTCAATCGTATATCCAGTAAAATTACACGAATTCCTTTCCTACTAGTTTATGCTGTAACACTAGCCCATAAACTAATGAAGCCCGTACCCGGGTCACTGTTGCCACTACTTTCCATGAATAATGGATTAATTTTTTATTGACTCACCCACCTACTCGCTCTGCTTTGGACTTTGCTTGTTTATAATGTATTTTCACCTTCATTTTTTTTTCTTCTCTTTTTCGGACAGGCCCGAGCCCAAGAGTTCGAAGATGAGAACCAGTCGTAAGGAAAGATTGAAATCAAATAGTAGTTTTAATACTGTAAATCTTTTTGACAGCTTTAAAATATATTTTCATCTTTAATTATAAAATTTAAAGCTTTCAAAAAATTTGTGGATCGAGGAGACTCCGTCATCAACTCGGGTGGAAGAAACCATGCAACTTCATTAACAAATGAATCCTAGCCTGTGAAGAACGTCCCCTATATAACCCCTAAAAAGCTTTACAAAATTTAGGGCAAATAATATCCCAAGCAAGCTCTTGAACCATTGCTTTCACCATTAATCCTTGGAGGCAAAACTCCACAATGTAACAACCTTCGATGTACCTAGGGACACCTCACTTTTGACATGTTGAATTTGACCTTTTAGAGCCAAAACTTAGTAAATCTCTTACCTACACTCCTTAAGCATGATTGCATACAATGAGACCATTTTAACTTATTACCCTAGAGGAATTCCCCAAATATCAATTTGATACCTCGGAATCCCTAAAGTGGACCCATTCAAAATTCATCATCCTAATTAAGTTAAATTTCCCTATAGAATTCAAATGAAATAACTCATTAAAAATTTCTCCCAATTAGGTTATTTTTCTTCCTAAATTATATAAAATTTCTTCGTAAATGTAAAAAAAGCTCAAGAATAACCCAATTCAATGCATGGTTTCAGAGATATGAGAAGAATAGTGACACAAATGCCTTCGAAATAGTTATCCTAGTTAGAACTCTGAATTAGTGCATCATGTGCTACGGATCGGATTATTTATTTTCAAGATTTTTAAGCTAGATCTGCTTGATTTGAACTATTTTTGGAGTTTAAAAATTTTATAACTGGAGATAAAAATCGATTTGCACACCATCTATAAGAATTTTCGACACCAAAATTGCATCTCATGACAAATTTTGAAGGTGCACCTTGCTATGATTGTTTAGATTGCAACCTTACGCAGACCACACCCTTTTGAGAACACCTTGCTAAAGTTGAAGTCCCACCTGACACTCACAGGTGTAACAAAGGGTCACTTTCAAAATTTTATTACTCAAGGAATCCCAAAGTAGAAGGCTTGAAACCTAGAGATTATACTAACGTGTAGATACCCCATTTCAGGTAATTGGATTTGTGATGTCCCAAAACCTAAACCGAGACTTTAACCCTAGAAAATCCCTTACCTTGTAGAGTTTTATTCGGTTCATTGAACTTCTAGGATCCTTCAACTTTAAGCCTCAGACCTCCCTAAAAGCAAGCGTTTCAAGATTCACAAGACCTGTACAGTTTTTTTTAGTTTAAAATTGTACAGTTTTTTTTAGTTTAAAATTTTATTGTTGGGGTTAGAAATTGATTTTAGAGCCATTATGATTTATGTTGCCGAAAGTGCTTTCCATATGAATATTTGAGGTGTCGCTCCTAAAACCTAGGTTTAGTAGAAACTTCATCCTAAATCAAAATCCTTCTCTAATTCCAAAAAAAAATTTAAAAAAAAAAACTTTCCTAAGGGGCCCAAAACCCTTGAAAACTTTTCATATTTGCCCTAGTTGATTAGCTCCTAGCATGAAACCTCCTTTAATGACATGACCTCAACCTTGGAATCCAAATTTTGAAAATAAAACATAAACACTTAAACGAAATTCAATAAGATTAAGAGGGTATAAACACTCGATAAAACCCCGTTAGAACCAACAGCTCAAAGCCACCACAAAACAACAAACAACTAAAGAAAATCGAACCATAATCGGCTCGGCTCAGATCTGAATGCGTCGTGTCCATTGTTAACGAGTGGGGGACTTTCAATAAATCGGCTTACTTTAAAATCGAAAAAAAAACTATTTTTTTATTTAAAAAAGTTTGATGAAAAATCCGATAAAAAACATAGATCAACAAAAATACTTCATATAAAGATACCGTTAATATATCGGAATGGCTAAAAAAATTGCATAAATAGATATAAAAAAAATACACCATACCAAACCTACTTAAATACATACAAAAAAAAAAAATACACCGACACTAGATCAAGCCGAAAATGTTACAGGGTTTGATAGCAGTCCCCATTCTCTCTCTAGAAATTTTAGGATTCACTAATTTTCGGATCAAACCTCTGTGAAAGTCAAACCATTTTTTTTTAGAGAGAGAGAGGATTAAGAAACCTCAACTTTATCTTTTTTTTGGGATTGATTAAGGGAAATATACCATAATTCCTGACCCAAAATGAGAGGCAGAAGCTGACGTATTTTTCTTTTCTTGGCCGGATTTAGGATCGCATTCGAGCTTTTATGAACGGAAATTTGACCTGAATCTACAGAGGAGTAATGGACCTCGACACTAGATTTCTCTTCTCCTTCTACTCCACTCCAAGCTGAATCACCATATAATATTCCTTCTTCTTCAAAAATCCCGACACCTTTATCATCACAGCACCCTAGCCTCAGGTTAAGGTCGATTCCCAGACCATTTTTCCGACGATAAATCGTGTTTCCGGCCACTGAGCCTTAAATTTCACAGAACTTGATTCTTTGAAGAAATTTTCAGGCTGTGTTACATTCTCTGACGAGAAGAAGATCCGGCCAGCAAAATGGTGCTTATGATCTTTCTCAGGTGCGTTTGAGCACTGGAATGGCCTTTGATTAAAGAAATACATAAATCGGATGCAGAAACCAAGAACTGAGCGGATGAAGAACTTACCTTTGTCGGATGGATATTTTCCTCCATTTTTCGTACGCCTCACTCCTCGATCAAACGCTTCGTCTTAGGTTCGGAGACTCTGGTTTGTTCGCAGAAGTTGGTTTTCTTCAAAAGCGGTTTTTTCGAGTGGTTTTTGAACGCCGCCATAAAGTTTGAGATAATAGTTTCCTTGAGAGACAAAAATCGATAGAGAGAGAGACATCTTTACACGCAGAGAGATATTCACAGAGAGAGAGAGCAATTCCCCGTTCTCTCTCTAGTAATTTTCGCAGATATTTTTTTTGGACCCATTTTATTAGTTTTTCAAAAAATCGTGTTTTTAACGGTATTATAAAAAATAAACCTTTTTTTTGGACGAACTTTAAAAAAAAAAGACGTTTAAAACGTTTTAAAAAAATGCGTTGATTTTTTTTTAAATTCAGTGATTAACCGCCGAATTGCTAACTGTGGTCGTGACACGCCTCATATGAATTGTGTCGCATAAATCTGATATGCAGCATGGTCGAATGAGTGGCCCAGATTGAGTCACCACCTTAGGGAGGGCAGTTAGAAACTTTCAAATAAGTAACATCACTGAATCGATCTTAGGGGACTTTTACGCCCTTAGACTCCAAATCCTACAAACCCTAACCTTAATCACGATTAGAGTGTATGAGTTTTGGGAATCCTTAGCTTGCATGGGAATCCCAGGGATCCTACTCACGATCGCATAAATAATTGGCTAAATACAAAATAGATGAATATAGCTATAAATCAATTACGAGAAAAAAAATCAAATATAAAAAACACACCACAATAACATACTATTTACGTGGTTTATCCTATAGGGCTACACATCCACTATCACAATGAAGAATACAATTTTGGATTATACGGATACCTCTCTTTAAACATCGATAAAAAAACTATTCCCAATCTTTTATTTTAAACTTGCTCTTTCAACCGAGCTACACCATCAATCTTTACCTTGTTTCCTACAGCAAAACCGCTACTGAGAGCAACCAAGGAATTTTCTCTCTCTAGAGGTAAAAGCTGTACTAACCCAAAACCCATTAGAATACCGTCACTCTCTCGAAAGTCATCTCTCTCTTGAAGATAGAAACCTACTTTTATCTTAGAAATCCCTCGTCAAAACTTCAAAAGGGTGACCTTTCAAAAGGGTGGATATTATGCCTTCATTGACTTTTTTTTTATAAATAATATTTTTCAATAAAGTTTATTTTATTTTTACAATAATACATTTAATTTTTTAAAAGAAAGTATGCATACAATGATTTGGTTATCACCAAACCTAACATAGAGAAACTCCTAAAAACCTAATCCTAGATTCCAAATCCCGGTCCTAACAATCCAAAGCCATAATTCACTTAAAAGGCCTCGAACTCGTAGATCAAGACCGTATAAACCCTAATTTTCCAACTGCCAAACTTCCAAATGTCTATATAATTAAGTTTAAAAACTTCAAATTAAGGGAACATTTTTTAAAGTGAGAGAGGGCAAGTTCCATTCATCAGTCTGACTTGCACCAGTTCTTGGTGCGAGGCCTGTGCGAGGCCTGTGGGCCTAGTCTGCGTAAGTGTATTATGTTTCATCTTCTTTTGTGGAATCTCTTTTAATCTTCATAATATGGCCCAGAAAAGAGGTTATGTCGGTCGATTTTCAACGAATTACAACTTATCAATCCCCATGTTATACGTTTCCTTACTTAATATGATTTTCAGTTTATAAGCATGGAGATCACATGTTAGAGCACATTTAAAATAATAAAAGGAAGTCTACAGAATAACACTATTTATATGTGGTATGAGGTCATCATCAACAGTAGTGGCCGTTACATTTCAAATGTTTTCTGAAAAAAACAAAAAAAAAAATCTCGATCCTTACCACACATCCTAAGCTTTACGATTTGACATTTGACGGTTTAAAGCGAGACCTCTTATGCCAAAAAAAACAAGAGAAAAGAAATAAAAACAAAACAAAGTTCTCTGTCTTTAGTTGATAAGCAACCTCCTACCGAATCACTATTATACATAAATTATATATAAACAAACCACTATCGCAATCATAGACAAAAAAAAACTTGTTAATATTTGGTTGTTGAGCAGAATCACTACCGCATATGTAAACTATTGCCAATGTGGAAGTTTTATAAAAAGGGAATCAACGCTTGACTGTTGTCGTCACCTTTTAAAATCCCATTGTTGCCCACCAAAACTGAAAACCTATGGGATAATATGCATAGTTACTATTTACTTTTGTTATAAGGAGGTCGCAATTACATTTGGTCATATAATTTAAAATTGGACAGCTCAAGTTGTATCATGAAATTCAAAAAAAAAATTGAATTTGGAGCCTAATCAATAATGCATTTACAATCATACGATTTAAATTCCAACAGACAAAAAAATTACAAAAAAGATTCTATTTATTATAAAAGAAAACAAACAAAAAAAATTATATCCATCGTGTAGCAAAAGTAAATAGTTTCTTTATATATATATTCCCATAGCTATTATGCCGTAAATAGTTTCTTTATATATATTCCCATAGCTATTATGCCGTAGTAAGTGTAAAGGAATGTAGGGGTCTCAATTTGGCATAAGTGAACCGCTCTTAGCCTTGGACCTCGTTAAGTAAGATGATTTCTCGCTTTTTTGCCTGTGAGGTGAAGAACATTGAAACTTGAAAGAACGTGCAAGCAAAGTAAAAGGGAAAGAAGCGCGCGTGTCGAAGCCTTTAGGAGAGAGAGAGATTAGATATAGGGTTATCTTAAGGTACTCATCAGTGTTAGTAAAACCGGCCTGTTAGAACAGGAATCGGCCGGTTAGATCGCTTCAGGTGGGGTGGAGACTCCGATTAGGGCCGGTTTTGGTGATCTACTTGTTAGATGGTGAGCTGCAAAAAGATTGGGTACAAAAACCGGCTGGTTAGCCCCCCTAAAACGGTTGTTTTTTCGCAAAACTGGCCGGTTTCAGCTAACTGGACTGGTTAGCCTATATAACGCCCCATATAACGTAAATAACAGTAGAGTAGTAAATAATGGCTGTTATTTGACACAAGCCTTGTTATTTTTAACATAACCCGTGAATAAGCTTTTGTAGCTTTTTTTTATTCTATTTTCTCGTGTTTTTTGTTTTTGTCGGTGAATTATTGATGTTATACACCGAAAAATTTCTATAAATCATCGATTATTGAATCAAAAGTCGAAAACATACCATTCTTGACGGACTGAAATGGGGATTTTTGAAAATTGGAAATTTCTGCCATTCCCTCAAATGCAGCTTCAATACCTCATAGATTTTCATGAAAATGTAGGGCTTTGATTCATTGTTGAAGGCTTCATCGTTTACATATTTCAATTTTTCCAAAACGATGAAGATTTCAGGTTTTTTTTGGGCCCTAAGTATTGCCGCTCGAAGAATTGTTTTTTTATCAAAACAAATTGATTCTGATCGATCAATTGATCAATTTTTATCAAATTGATCAGTGCAGTTTGATCATCAACGCTTCATCTATCAAATAAATTAGGAAAAATTACATACATATCCGTTATAGTTTC